AGGAGGGGCAGAGGAATGGGGGAGGGGGTTCTCGGTGTGATAAACAAGGTCTCTTGGCTAGTCGGACACCGATCCGCGGATCACCACACCCACCTTCTTCCTGGACTACCCCCTTTCTTGGAGTGGAGAAATTGAGTCACTGATTTTTACCCTGCTAATTCTGGGCCAGTCCCTCATACCTGCCCTGGAGTCACAGATGGGAAAGACTTTCCCCGTCCTGCTGTCCACTCTTACAGTCACTGGTGTCCAACTCAAGTAGGAACCATGGCCGCTATACTGTACATAAGGATCCCTATGCGCTCCCTGCTAACATAGTTTTAAAATGTAATGTTATCTATATTTTCTTATATTTTTTATTTATTTTGTTAAATACTTCCCAATTACATTTTAATCTAGTTAAGGGCCCAGGCCAGATGTGACCCAGCTGCTCTAAAAACACCATGTTCCCTGAGTGTAGGACTTTCTCAGTGTCTCCTCCATCTTCCTTATAGTCTGAGTTCTCTATGGATTTCAGCTGTTGTTCAGTCCATTTTCAGTCTGTTCGGCTGCAAAGACACTAGAGGAGTCTGACATTTCCTTCTCCAGCTCATTTTACAGATGAAGAAACTGAGGCAAATAGGTGAAATGATTTGCCCAGGGTCACTCAGCTAGTAAGTGTCTGAGGTTACATTTGAACTCAGGAAGATGAGTCTTCCTGACTCCTGGACCAGTGCTCTATGTACTTTGCCACCTAGGTATGGGTTGGGTGGTGGAAAATACTCAAGTGACTATTGCACATCTAGAATAAAACACTTGTAGTTTGAATCCCACCTTGGACACTAGTTTTATGACCTCAGGAAAGTCACTTAACTTCTCAGTCTCAGTTTATCCATGGGGAAAATAGGGATGTTGTTCAGTTTTTTTCAGTCATGTGTGACTCCTTGTGACCGCATTTAGGGTTTTCTTGGCAAAGATGCTAGAGTGGTTTGTCATTTCCTTCTCTAGCTCATTTAACAGATGAGGAAACTGAGACAAACAGGGTGAAGGGACTTACCCAGAGTTACATAGCTAGTAGGCATCTGAGGCCAGATTTGAACTCGGGAAGATGAGTCTTCCTCACTCCAGGCCTGACGCTCTATTCATCGTGCCACCTAGCAGTCCCAAGAGGGATAATAAAAAAAATAGGGATAATAGTTAATGAACAAATATTTATTATACACTTAATATTTTCTGAGCACTGTTCTAAGCCCTGAGGATGCAAAGAAAGGCAAAAACAAGGTCCTTCCCTTTAGGGAGTTCATGTTCCAATGGAGAAAATAACATACAAATAGCTCTGTGAAAGAGAGGTCACCTCAGTGCTGGGGCTAGCACTGTGTAGGAACCTGGAAAAGCCTCTTTCAGACAGCTCATTTGAGCTCTCTTGAAAGAAGCCAGGAAAACCAGAACATGAAGGTAAGAATGGAGGGCATTCCAGGAACGGGAGTCAGCCTGTAAAGGACAGTGTTACTAGATCTTAGAGTACATAGAGGGAACTAAAGGATGAGAAGACTGGAAAGGTAGGAATGGGCAAAGATGTGAAAGGATGTAAAAGCCAAGCAGAAGGTTTCATATTTTATATGGAGGTTAGAGGGAGCCACTGATGTTTATTGAGCATGGGGATGACATGGTTTGACTCTCTATTTAAAATAATCATTTTGACAGCTGGATAGAGGATTGGCTGCAGAGAGAAAAGACTTGAGGCGGAGATCAATCAAAAGGTTATGAATTCTATTTGAGTTTGACACTATTGCTTTAGAAAGTGAGAGTTGAGCTGAGACTTGAAGGAAGCCACAGAAGAGAGGAAGTGAAGAAGGGTGAGCACTCCAGGAATGGGGGACAGCCAGTGTAGAGTGTGTGGAGGAGAGGAAAGTGTAAGAATGCCAGAAAGGTAGGAAAGGGCCAGGTTATGAAGAGTTTTAAATGTCAAATTTTGTATTTGAATCTGGATATAATAGAGGGCTACTGGAACTCAATGTGTGTTGGGGAAGAAGGAGGAGAGAATGATGCGGTCAGACTTTCACTTAGGAAAATCCCTTTGGCAGTTGAGTGGAGGATTGACTGATGTGGAGAGAGACTTATGGCAGGAAGATTTAAGGGTTATTGCCATAATCCAGGCCAGATGATTGAAATCCTGTACTAGGGTGCACAGAAGGAGACATATATAGGCCATTTTGTGAAGGTAGAAGCAACAAGAATTGATAACAGACTAGATATAGGTGTGTGGGGTTAGTGAAGGTGAGCAGTTGAAGACAGTCAGTTTGAAAGACTGGTTGACTGAAAGGATGCTGGTGCCCTTGGCAGCAATATTAACTTGGAAATAGGAAACAGTTGGGGGAAAAAAATAATGAACTCTGTTTTGAATATGCTGAGTTTCAGACACCTACAGGATGTCCAATTCAAGCTGTCCAAGGGGTAGTTGGTGATGCTAATGGGTGAGTTCTAATGGCTGAGCTCAGAAACCCTCCTTCACAGACAAGGCTTAGTAGGAAACAAGGCTAAAGGGTTGGGGGTGGCAATTCATCTATCACCACCGTGACAACCTTCTGCTGGGTGCTCAGCTCAGTTTCCATTCCAAACATGGAAGTTTTCCAACAACTGGTCAGAAGAACATTGAAACAAATAGACATGGAAACAGCATTTATTGCTACATATTTGTATCCCTTTCCTGTGCCCAAGTTAGAATCCACTTTTTTTAGAACAAGGGTCCGTGGAGAGATTTCAGGGGATCCATGAAGTTGGGTGAGTAATATGTGTCTCTGTGTGTGTGTGTGTGTGTGTGTGTGTTGGTGTATGTATACTTTATTTTCATTCATCTGTAACAGAAACTTAGATTTTTCTTTAATTATTCTGAGAAGGGATTCATAGGCTTCACCAGACTCCCAAAAGGACCTATGACCCAAAAAGGATTAGGATCTACTTCTCATGGGGAAAAAAAGGAAATCTGTGATTCTTCTCAGGGGCTTCCACAGTTGCAGGAAATGCTTAGAGTTAGTCAAAGCAGAAGAAATATAATTTCCTCTAAGGGCCTGACAAGAGCATAGCTTGTGTAAGAGCTCTTCTGGTCAGAGCAGAGGGATTATAGGGGTTTCTCCGAAGGTCTGTCAGATCAGACTTGTGTACAGAAGTTGCTCTGAGGGCTTAGCAAAAGCAGAGGAAACGTACATCATCTGAGGACTTGATCTGAGGAAAGAAGTGCAAGAGCTTGTCTGAAATCTTGGTCAGAACCCGGAATATATAGGATCTCCTTTGGTGATTGGATCAGAACAAAGAACAGAGGTCAGGAGGCATGGGTCAATAACCTGCCTGTGGAAAAAGTAAGAGGTCTGCTCTCACTAAGTCTTCAGAGACTCCTGTTGGGTTGGAGAAGAGCTACTAAAAAGGGATTATGTCAATAAAGGAAGCCTATGTTTTCCAGCTATGATAACAATATTGTCTTAATTTAATGGAGGATGCCAAAGCACTTGCAAATGTAATTTATGGTAGGGTCATTTCCCCCATATTGCAAGCCTCCATTTTAGAAATGAGCTAAATCTAACATGAAGAAATTTAATAAATAGAAACATAAAATTTGATGCTTGCATTCAAAAAACCAAACTTAAGTACATGATAGGGGATGTATGGCCAGATGGCAGTTTATATGAAAAAAAAAGAGCTATAGGATTTTAATGGACTGCAAACTAAATGTAAGAGTCAATAGTGTGACAAGACAGTCCAAAAAAATGAAGGTGATATTGTCATTTTACAAGAGGGATAGTGTCCAGGAAGCAAGAGTCCTACTTTTCCCTGTCTTAGTTAGATCACATCTGGAATATGGTGTTGAGTTCTGTGACCTTAGGAAAGACATAAACAAGAGTAGGGTTACCGGGATGATGAAGGGTCTCAACATTATCCCATACAAAGATCAGTTGACAAAACATTTACTTTACAGAAGAGAAAATTGAAAGGTGAATCACTTGGGGGGGGCAGGAATAGGTTTAGTCTACTTGTCTCCAGAGAGCAGAACTCAGAGCAATGGATAGAAAATTATAGAATGGCAAATTTAGGATTTTTTTTTAGGCAATTGGGGTTAAGTGACTTGCCCAGGGTCACGCAGCTAGTAAGTGTCAAGTGTTTGGTCTGAGGCCGGATTTGAACTCAGGTCCTCCTGACTTCAGGGCCGATGCTCTATCCACTGCACTACCTAGCTGCCCCCTTTTTGTTTTGTTTTTCTCTTTTTTGTTTTTTAATTTAGGATTGATATAAAGGGAGAACTCCCTAACAATTAGAGCTGTCCAAAGGTGAAATAAGTTGCCTCAGGACTGAATGAGTTTCCCCTCACTGGAGGTTTTCAAGCAAAGGCTATATGAGCCTTGGTTGGTAACTAGAGGAAATTGCTACAAGGGTTGGACTTCACTAGATAATTTCTGAAGTCCCTTACAACTCTGACATTCTGTGATTCCATGAGGACAATCATATGCATATGCAAGAAGTATGCAATGATGCAATATCAGAGTCACATACTCATATAGATACATACTCATGACTCATGGGCTAGAGGAGAGGGAAGAGACTCAAGAGACAAGACCAGACCTGTCATTCCCTTTGGTAGGGTAAAGGATGGAGAATGTCCTTCTCTTCTCTCATCCTCCTCCTGAACTACATGGAAGTAAAAACAGAGGGTACAACATGAAGGGAAGGGGTAGGGGTAGAAGGGGGCCACTGGGCCTATCCCATATAAAACATTGCCACACACAGAGACCTTCCTTCACCTCTGCACACACCATACCTTCCTCCCCAGAATTAGCACTAACCCAATTCCTGTCCCCACCTGATAAAGGGTCAGAGATCAAAAAGGCATAACAATCTCATCCCATGTAAGGTCATGTGTGGTATTTTCCATCTAAGTCCATATTCATGCAGAAAACTGGCCACATGAGGCTGTACCTCATATAGAACTGTCCACATAAGGCTGTCTCATTCTATCCGTTCAAGGAGCATCGCCTTCAGCCAACCTGTGCCAGGATTTGAGCATTGAGAGCTGCTTGGGTCCTATGGGCTTCAGCTCTGGCCTGCTCTATCAAGATCTGAAGGAGACCCATGGGAACATCCAGGGAGAGGGTGAGCCGGGCTCCTCGGCAGCAGCTGGAGAGCGCAGAGGTTGGTTTCCTTGTAGCCCTTCGGCCGTGGGGTTCCTGGGCTCTGCTTCCTACAAGATAGTCTTCCCCAGAGGACAGGGGCTGGTGAGAGGCTGTAGCGGGGGAATCAGGGGGTTCCTGTGTGGTCAGATTCCAGGCTAGACCTTGATTTATTACGAGGATCACCAACATAGTCAGCGTCAGCTGCGTCATTGTCTGGGAGGGCAGTCTGCTAAGAGAGGAAATAAAAGCTCAGATCAGACTCATTGGGCAATTCAGTACAATTCAGTCTCTCTCTCTCTCTCTCTCTCTCTCTCTCTCTCTCTCTCTCTCGAGAGAGAGAGAGAGAGAGAGAGAGAGAGAGAGAGACGAGAGACAGAGACAGAGAGAGACAGAGACAGAGACAGAGACAGAGACAGAAAGAGAGAGAAAGACGGGGGGGGGGTAGGGAGAGAGAGCGCTAGAAACTGAAAGACTCAAAACCCAGAGGATCCAGAACCAAAAATACAAGACTTCTAGGCCCAGAGACCGAAAAAGAACCCAGAGACTTAGAGATTGGAGACCAAGAGATTGAGGTCCAAAAGAATCAGAGACACAGATAACTGTTCACACAGAGATCTTCCTTTGCTTCTCCAATCACCTTACCTTCTGCTCTTCCCCCCCAGAATTAGCACTAACCCTACTTCTTTCCTCCTACCTCACCCAATTAAAGGTCAGAGGTCAAAAAGGCATACTAGTCCTCCTTCCATTTAATTCCCCAGGTGCCTTAAGACAGCCAGGTAGCTTCACCTTCTTCCTATGACCAAATCTCAAAGGGTGATTCCAGCTCCTTGGAATTGTCTGCCTCGGTGGATATCTTGGACCTGATGCTGATCCCTTTGTCTCTAAGTCTCACAAAGAAAAAGAAGAGTACTGTTATATGGAGATTCACAGAGGACTGGGGTCTCAGAAGTTGTTCCAGTTTCTCTTTCCTTCACTAGAACTTGATCCCTATATCTCCCTCAGAATTCAGACCATGGGGGGCCATGTAATGTGGGGGGTCTGGTATGGAGGAGGCTATAACCCCAGCCATGTGGGCACTGGGTGAGGGGATATTTCCAGGAACTCAGGCAGCAAACATTTCCCCTCCCCTCAATATGACTCAGACCTCATTATCATCTCCTTCCCCTAACCCCAGAGCAGGGATGCCTATGACCTTAGATCTTTGCCAGGGATGGAGAGTGGGGTAGAGGGGAAAGGGGCAATTAAGGGTCATTCTTTTCCTAATACCTTTGATTTTGAGGTTAAAGGATGAATTATTTTGCCCTAGGGATGAGGGAGATGCTAATAGGATCCTAGGCATAAAGAACACTGACCATCCTGGGAGGAAAAGTGGCCAAGGTCAGAATTGGGGAGCCAGGACCCAGGAACCTTGGGGTATGAGCTATGTGCCTGGGCATGTGGCAAGGAGGAAAGAGAAGGAAGCCTATAGATGCCAGCTACCCATGGTCACTTGAAGTGTGACGATAGGTGGATCCTGTAGGGACTTTATGGAAGCAATAAGAGGTTGGCTTGGCAAGGCCACATGAGATCATGGCGGAGGTATTCTGTCTGGGCTCAGTCCCCAGTTCTGTTTCCTACAGAGTGTGTCTTGTGCGTGTAGGTTCAGTATTGCCTCCTCTATGCTTTCCCTGGCCATTCTTCCTTATGGCTAAGTACATATGTGCACTCTGCCTGCTCCACAATTTTGGGGTTTCTTTGAAAACAGCAGCTTCAATGATCCCCAGGAGCTGTATTCCTTCTGAGAGCTAAGGGGAGGAAAATATGTCAACTTTTCTGGTACATTACCCAGTGCCGTTCCCTCCTTCCCCCCTCCCCCCAACAGCGTTTTGTCAGTGAATAAGGGGAGTGTGGGCTGAAGAGACAAGTGCTCAGTCATAGGGTCAGCTCTGGAAGTGTCATCTCCTGCCTCCAAAGGTGAATCATCTCATCCTAGGGGCCTGGGTGTGTGGCTATTTGGTCCTTTCAGAGGATAGAGCTTCATGGAAACTCCCACCCCCACCCACATGCATGTAGAGCCAAGTTTCCATTGCACCAGATCCAAGGGGAGGGGGGAACTATCCCGACCCAGCTGAACCACAACAACTCAGCCTCTCAGTCTTGCCATCTCATTGCCTCTTGATCTAATTCTTTCTGTCCTGATCTTTTTTTGGTAAAAAGTGTCTGTCCCTGGTGATTAGATCAGAGATGAGGCCAGAAGGGGGGCAACTCCAAGGGTCGTTGGAGAGAGGTCAGGACCAGATGGTGACAGGAATCTGGTAATCCCTGACCCCCTAGAGAGTGGGGCTCAGGTCATTATGGAGTATGACATCAAAAACATGACTGTGGGCAACAGCTTTCACAGTGGAGAGAGGAGTTTTGATTCATTCAGATTGACTCAACAGGCATGACTTGTTGGGTCTGCCATGTTGAGGAATGTCACCCCTGGGATGGGAGATGGATATGGTACAAATTGTCTCTGTGAGATTTTTAATCTACTGGTCAGGAACCAAAAATGCCTCCACCTAACTCTGATACAGAGCAAAGTGTAACAAGTGGGCAGGGGGGTGGGATGAGAAATTGGGGGGAGATGGGGGTGAATGAAAATAGTAGGGAGGGAGAAAAGATGATGGGAAGGATGAGAGAGAGAGAGAGAGAGAGAGAGAGAGAGAGAGAGAGAGAGAGAGAGAGAGAGAGAGAGAGAGAAGGGAATAAGCAACCCCTCTCAGAGTTGCCTTAAGCCCAGTTTTAGCAGGTTAAGCACAAGGTTCAAGAGTAGATCTACCTTCATCCTGATACATCCAGAATGTTTTTTTTTCCTCTCCTCTGGGAAGATTGAGGCTATCTTACCATGAGTAGTGGGACAAGGAAACATGAAGGGATTATACCAGATGTCCTATACACATTTCTGCAACTCTGACATTTCTAGGAGACCATGAAAATCTGTTGGTCCCAAGAAATAACTGCCTGCGGAGTTAACTGGTAACATAGATAGGGATAAATGCAACTAAATTTAGAAGAGAAACAGGAAATTGGGGGAAAATTTTTGGAGTTTTTATGTAAAATGTAGGTAGCTCCTTGTGGCTTCAGGTTCTATCCCACTATCTTCTTAAAGTACTTTGTTTCTTTTCCAGTTATTTTGTATTGTCTTTGGATCTTTTAAATTTCTTAGGCACACAATCATATCATTTGCAAATAGGGATATTTCAACCTCTTCAATGACATTTATTTAATTTCTAAGCTCTCTTTTCTTCCCTCTAATGGCTCTTTTATTAAATATTACTTTGGATTTTAAAATTCTATTTCATTTTATTTTCAGTTCCAAATTCTCTTTCTCTTACCTCCTCCTTCCCACCCATTGAGAAGCCAAGAAAAACAAAATCCATTATAAATAGGTATCATCAAGCAAAACAAATTTCCACAAGGGTGAAATCTAAACAAAGGAAGGAAGGAAGGAAGGAAGGAAGGAAGGAAGGAAGGAAGGTAGGAAGGAAAGGAGGGGGGAGGAAATATATGAAACATAATGACATTTTCAGAGCAGCTTTGATAGAGATTAAGAATAAGTAACCAATTGAAAGGATGCCCTCTGAACGTGGATGATTCCTATGGCAAAATGTCACTACTTCCCAAATTAATTTGTAAGCTTAAACTTACATACAAAACAAAATATTAATGGATTACTTTTTCTTTTTTATTATGAACTTAACAAACAAAATAGACATTTTTATATATAGAGTGGAACAGAAGAAAATAGAACATAAAAATTCAGCTTTCTATTCAATATGCTTTGCTTAAAAAAATACAAGTACCACATGTAGCTTTTCAAAGCTGTCCTGTTTAGCTATGCTTCTTTTTGAACTTCTTATCTATTTTATTTTTAATATTTAAACAGAAGATTCCCTCAATAGCCCTCTTTTCTTTATTTTCCTTTTTCGAGGGAAAGCTATCCTCTTCCCCTCCTTTTCCATCCGTAATGAATAAGAAAGAAAGGTCTTTGTTACAAATATGTGTAATGGGGGTCTGTCCACGTGCATAGTATCTCAGATGGAACCTCCTCGGTGAAGGGAGCAAAGCCTCCTTGATTGTTTGAGTTCAAAAGGTGTGGGATGTACTTTAGTATCCCAGCATTCTAGAGTTTGAGTTCCAGAGCCAGTGCATCATCAATGCCCTAAGGAGCAAGGAGTGACCTTTGAGAGTGTCCTTCAGGACCAGGCCCTAGGAAGTTGAGATGAATCTTCCTCCAGTAGTCAAGCTAAATCTGGACATGAACTTGGTAGGATCAGCAGCACATGAGAACTAAGCTAAGTTATAAGCCTATTCTTCACCAACCACCTCCGGCCAAGAAGGTATGGGTGAGGGTATATCCCTGAGGTGTTGGGGGAAATGTTGATACTTTGTTCTATATCTTTGAAGCAAATATTTCTTTGTACAAGATAGCCAATATTGAGTGGTTAAATGGAATTTGGGCAACGTAAACAGAGCCAAGAAAACAACATACACAATGACTACATCAGTGTGAATGGAAAACACCACCACACATGCACAAGTCGAAAATGAATGTTGTAAAATTATAAAGAAGAAATAGGAATCAAAAGAAGAGATGTGAGAAGACACTCCCAACATATCCCTTTATAGAGGTGGAAGGTTCATGAATGTTACACATTGTACATAATTTCAGACTCTTTCAATGTATTGATCAAGTATGCTGATTTTTCTTCCTCTTTTTCTCTTTTTGTCTTTAAAAAATACTATTTGTTATATGGGATGGCTCCCTAGGAGATAATAAGGGAGGAATACCGAGGAAAATTATAGTGATATAAAAAAAATCAATAGAAACTTTTTTAGATAAGTAAATACATTGAACTAGGGCATTAGTCATTGGTTCTCTAAGGGTGGGAGGGTGAGGACCATAACTGGCGGAGGCTGGAGCTGATAGCAGTAAAAGACAAAGCCCTCAGAGTACCTGAGGACTCTGAAGTGCCAATGAAGCAGCCTGGCTCTGGGAGTGCTCCAGAATGCACTTACTGCATATGTAAAATCTAACAAAACAAATTCTCACATGTTAATGGATTGCTTTCTGGAACTAGGAGAAATGATAACGAAATCTGTATAGGAAAAACAGTGATGAGGAGAGACTGGACTGCCATGGCTCTGAAAAATTTTCAAAAATTGATTTTTTACATCACTTTCATTTC